GAAGCCTAGAACCTGAGTTATAGTCTCAATATGACTATTTTGATGAGCCTCACATTCTTCCCCTAAAAAAATGTGTGGGCTAAACCTGGTCGGTGTTTTCATTAGAAGCTAAAATTCTAATTACAAGGCAAATTTTTTTTTTTTTTTTTTTTTGGTACTGGGGATCAAACTCAGGCCCTTGCTCTTGTGAGGCAGGTGCCGGAACCACCATGAATATTTAAGAAAATCTTTATCTATAGTATTTTCAGTTTTAGCGAAACAGAATATTGCTTTACTATATCTTAAGGTTTCTCAGTCTTGTCACAATTAACATTTGAGCCTGATAATTCTTTGTTGAAGGGCCTGTCCTATATATTATAGGATATTTAGTAAAAGTATTCTCAGCCTCTGCCACTAGATATTCCTTCACCTCCAGTTGGTAAACCAAAAATTTCTCTAGGTGCTCCCAGTAGTCCATATGAGGGGTAGAATCACTGCTGGTAGTGGAGTATTTTATTTTTATACATTGAGTTGTATGAAGTGTTGGCAACTGAAAAAAAATAACAGAAAAGTTTCATTCTAGTCTTAGTGAAAAGTTATTGCTAATCTAATAATAATACCATTTATCTCATTCAATGTCAAGAATGTACTAAATGTGTCCTTAATGTTTAGTCTTTTAACCAGTGCTTACTGTGGTTCTGATATGTTCTTGGCACTTGGCATACAACAGCAATCAAAACACCAAAGAAATACGGTGATTAAATGTGAAGAGAAAAAACACATAAATTGGGGAAGTGGCTTAAAGAGTCCTGGAATAGGATGTGTTACTCTTTTCCATCACGTGGTAGGGAAAGGTATACTAAGAAGTTTACATTTTGGTCAAGATTAGAAGGGAATAACAAAGAGAATTACAGGCAAAAGAAACAAAAAGTTCTAAGTCCCTGAGAATGCCAAGCAGAATTAAGGAGCTCAGTGTATCTGAAGCAGAGTGAGAAAGGAAAAGAATAGTAGATTACATTAAATAGAGGCTGAGGGAGTGTAGGGGACAAAGCAAGTAGAATGAGATAATACTGGCTTTTACTGTGAGTAAAAACAGGTATTGGAAGACTTTAAATTAAGGTTAAACTCATCTGATTCAGTGTTAACCTCAGTGGTCAAATTGAAATGGAAGACACAGAATAGAGAAACAGGAGGGATATTTTTAGCTTTAAGATGAAAAATAAGTCTTGATATTATCAATGTGAGGAAATTTGCTATGTTGAAAAGTTTTTCACTTATACTGTATTTAAAAGAAACTGAAAGCAGCTTTTGCTAAACCCTTGGAATCAGATTTATTTAGTCTGTTGAAAATATCTAAAAGGATATTAACAATACTGGCAAATAAATTATAGATGCATCTTATAATTACAAAAACTAGTAGAGCTTAAAATGTAAAATAGTAAAGCTTATAATTAATATAATCATACTTATGTATTATTTATTTAGGACAAAACAACATAATATGTAAAATTATAGGTTGTCTGAAGGACGAAGAACGTAGAAAGTATGGTATTTCTTCTGTAAATGCATGTCTCTTTGAACTTTGGTGTACAGATGTGAAAGTAATTACCAGGAAAAAAGTAAGAAATAGACTTGTTTTCATTAGTTATGTTTAAGTTTCCTTTTGTACTTAATGAAAAAGCATATATTGCTTAAAATCTGTTCTGCTGCCAATCATACTTTTATTTTTTATTTTAAAAAATGTTGTTAAGATATTCTATTTTAACCTGGAGTATGACAGTCGGTGAAGATATTCTATCTTAACCTGGAGTATGACAGTCGGTGCAAACAAACCCAAGTGCAAAGAACACAAGATGAAGAACTTATGAAATTCATCTCTGTCCTAATATCTGTCTAAAATGTATATTGAACTAAACACATGCTCTGATAATGTCTGAAAACCTTAAGCTCTTGGGGATATTGCATAGGTAACTTGTGTTTGGAGAATCACATGAACTCTGATCAGGGTAATAGCACTTTTAAACTTCCTAGTTGATTTTTCTGTAGATCTAACGCCTTAATCATTTGTTGGAATGTTTTCTCAGCTGAAGGTTGCTGGGCATCTAAATGGTGCTTCTTGGATAGCTTTGGATGGTCCTACTGACATTAATAATTTGCTATATAAAATAAGCACTACTTAATTTGCAAGCTAATTTCTCACAGTGTAATAAATTTGTTCCTTGTAGTCTGTTTTCTATAAAAATGCATTTTTGCACATTTAAAAAAATTGGTGTGCCTTCATTTGTTATGTGTTCTGTTTTGACGTAGCTTTCAAACAAATCCAGAGAATTGCTTTCTATGAAATTTATTAATTTGAGCAGTTTTGATTTAGTAGTTATTTTCTGTTGGAATTTGAACTTCACAATCCTTAAGATAGTTTTTTCAAGTGGATATTGATGTACTCATGTTACCTGATGATTGGCCCATTCCAGTTTGGTGAAGCACATTTCTTGTTTTGGAAATTGTTATTTTTCTAGAAATGATCAGTCCTAAATACTTAAGGGCCATGGATGTAAGAAGACTTTCTTTAAGGGATAGTACCAGGTCTTATTTGAATGAGAGTCTGATACTTACTGATAACAGAATGATATTTCTGTGTTCTGGTTGATGTTTAGAGTATATTTTATGGTGCTCTTGTTTTTGTTTACATTTGTCATTTTGTAAAATAAAAGAATTTTAACGTGCTGTAAAATTTTGTGATAAGAGAAGTCTCCTGCTTTAAAAAGCTTCTTGAATTTAACTAAGAGATTTAAAAACTATTAGCATAAATGCCTGGAACCATCCCTGGCATTTTTATAGCAGGAGAATATTGCCTTAGTAAAGTAGGATTGCCTCTATTATTTAAAAATGTCTGTAAGTAGAGCTTGTGTGGTTTGCTGGGTCCAGTGTAAACATCTTATCTCCTTCCCACTTTAACTACTTTTAGTCATATTTATTAAGTAATGAGTTTGTACTTTTTTATTTTGTAACATTTTGTGAATTTTTTGTACAATACTGTATTTGTAAAATAGCAATTCTAACCAATGGAATAAAATGCACACTTTTACAAAAAGAAAATATTACGGAAAGAGCATTAAACTATATATTTCATGATAGTTTTGATAATACAGATTTTTTTTAACTGTCTTATATGAAATATACCTACCATGGAAGCAGTCACATACAATTTTATCAATAGTATTTTTCTCATTTACATTTAAAATAACCTAATTCTACTGCTTTGGCCATTTGGAAGAACATTTATTTCTAGTTAATGGCATGTTTTAGGGATGGGATTTAAGAATAGACTTATCTTTATAGATGTGTAAAGGGAAATTTTTAGCATAGGTGATTCTCTTCTTTGTTTTCAAGAGCCATAAAAATAGTCATGGGATACAAGAAGCAAAATCTGCCCCACCTCGCCAGTTTTTAGTATTCTGTATATGAATTCAGAAAATGATATGTGATAACAGGCCAAAATGCTCCAGGTCTAATAACCTTTATTGTGCTTAACAGAAATATTTGCCTAAGACAGGGAGTGACCAGTCATTGGCAAGGCATGAGGCTTCATTTATCAATAAAGTAGGATTTCATAAAACTAGATTATAGGGCCTGGGATTTAGCTCAGTGGCGCCTGCCTTGCAAGCACAAGGTACTGAGTTTGATCCCTGGTACCAAAAAAAAAGAGAATACCGTATTAGAAAGTTTGTCTTCTCATATCCTGGAAGTTTTTATATTCTGTGGAAATGACTGGTTTTTCAAGTAAGAGAAAGACTCCTCTATGTACTGGAAAATGAAAAAGGATGACTTGCCCAAACTTGTAGATAAGATTGATTTTAGAAAAATGTACAAATGAAAGTTGAAGATCTAGAAATTGATTTCCTTAAAGTAATTGTGTTTTTGCATCTCTTTTTAAAGTCTCTGAAAGTCTTAGGATGTTTGATCCTCAGTGTGAAGACCATTGAAATAATGAGGGACACAATTAAGGAAGGAGTGGCAGTTCTTTGTCTCATTCACCAGTTTGTAGGGTAGCTGGGAAGAAGTCCTTCCAGATCATTTCACTTTGCTATAACTTTTAAGTCAGCAAAAAGAATTTGTAAATTATCATGTTGTATCTTCTCTGTACCTCAGGTAAGAATTCAGAAGTTCTGGAAAAGGAAATTACTTCATTTTGAACTTTTTTCTTACTACTAGTTATGGTTTATAATTGCTTCAAATATTTTAATAGTAATTTCCAGTGGGTGTTGACCAATACTTTTTCCTTTATCAACTTTGAAAAGAGCACATTATCTTTGAAATAAAGTTACTCTTTGGGCTGTTCAGAATTACTTTTTGCAGTGCAGTTCTGCTCATTCTTCTGTGAACTTCACAAAAAATTGTATATTTTTTACCCAACTTGTCTTTAATGGATTTTGAAGCATTTGATGAATTGGAGTGAATTCTAATGAAGTGTTCTAAACCTTGCTGCTCTAAATTATGGTACCTGGACCACCAGCATCATAGTTTGACACAAAATGCAGAAGCTGGTCAAACTTTGGACATCATAATAGAAGCAAAATCTGCCTTTTAACAAAATCCTTAAGTGATTCAGAATTATGTGTTACTTAATGACAGGACATATTCTTAGAAGTGCATTGCTAGGTGATTTTGTAGTTGGACAAACTGAGAGCACTTATGCAAGTATCCTGCGAAATACCTGTATGGTATAGCCATTTACTTCTAGGCTACAAATCCAAACAGGATGTTACTACTATACTAAATAATGTGGGCATTTGTACTACAGTAGTAAGCATTGGTATATCCACCTTATCTAAACACAAGAAAAGTATAGCAGAAATAGGAAGCAATTTTCCAGCTCCATTGTAATTTTATGGGAATTGTGTCTTATGCTGTCCATCATTGGGCAGTGTGTTGTGCAGAACATGACTGCATATACATTAAATTTGGTAAGGTGTTAATCATGGTGGGAATGAATTGAGTTTGTTTTCTCTATTCTCTTTCAGGTCTTTGTTGAGTATGCAAATGCTGGTGATTCCAAAGCTGCTCAGAAATTGCTGACTGGAAGGATGTTTGATGGGAAGTTTGTTGTGGCTACATTCTACCCGCTGAGTGCCTATAAGAGGGGATATCTTTATCAAACCTTGCTTTAATAAGCAACCTAAGGACTGTTTCCTGTTTCTCCTCTTCCATTTCCTGGATCATTGTATTCTATATCTGAATGCAGAAGTACCCTTTTATCATTTTAAAGGGGTACTTTGTACATTTATTTAATCCTACTAATGTGCAGTCATTGCCCTAGCAATGTTGCATTACAAACATTTGGCACCAGGTAGGACAAGACCTCTCAGCTATACATTGAGGGGTTGTAGAGCATCCATGTGGGCAATCTTGTTTTGTGCAGTATGGCAGGTGCTGCTATTCCATATGTAACCTACAAAGACATTATTTCATGTGACCATGAAGCAAGGATGAATAATATGTTGTAGTGAATATTATTAATGAATTTGTTAAGGTTGGTGGCATCAATTACAGATTATTCTCTCGTTGTCAGGTGGATCTTATTGTTGAAGTCACCTGGCACTGGATGCTCTGAGTAATGTTAAGTAATTGTCAAGCAGCAGTTACCTACTGTGTTAACACTGAGTTGTGAATTTTTTTAAAGGAGTACTGTAGTCCATAATATTCCTTTAAAGAAACTGCAGTGAGCCTATCTACATTTTTAAATTATTATTAAGGCTTTTAAAATAGCTGATGCTTGATCTTGCACAATTTTTATGTCTAGTATGTTTGCTTGAGTGAATGTGCAGGTGTGAAAGAAAATTTGAGTCAGTGTACTTTATAGTGTGAATCTTGCGAGCTAATACAGTCTATACCCTTCTCTTCCCTACCTGTTTCAAACCTGTAAGATTGAAGATATATGTTTTTTGAGAGTTGATGTGTCTGATAGAATGTAAATGGCAAAGCAGTTCATTCCTGAGAGGCTCAGAACAAACTGGAGAAGAGACCAGGGTTACACTGAAACTTTTCAAGTGATTGGAACAAAGAAGTAGCTTTGGTACATGTAAATTATCCCATTCTTCATTGTACTGTAGACCTTTGATTGGCTCATCTTTTTTAATTGAATCTTCTATGATAATTATAAAATTTCTTAAGATATAGTTCTACTTATTATGATAGAAAATTGAAGTAGACTTTAAAAATTAGATGTACAATGAAGGGAAAAGAAAAAAGGCAAAGAGAATCATGAAGGATCCATCTTTTCTTTTTGTCTCATGCCTCTCCCTCACTCATTTTTCCCCTTCCCCCCCCATTCTCTGTCTCTGTCCTTAGCTGAAGAGAAGCCAGAAGAACAGCATTCCAAGTGGTCTAACTTTTGACTGTGTGAAAGTAAAGAAAGGTATAGCTACAAAGGTAGAAGTAGAAAGAAAAGACTCACTTCTTAAAAGGATTCCTAGCAATCTAATGTGTTTCTGAGTAGAGAATGCCAGTATACATGAATTTGTGGATACAGGTTGATTACATGGTTTTAAGAATTCTAAGTATGAATTCTCACCATATGTTAAATGATATGAAGGTATAAAAGTAAGGAAACCTTTACAAAGCACTGATTATACAAAAAAGACAAGTTATATATGTATGAATTTTTTCCCTATTTCCTTACCTGAATGAAATTATTTTTTTCTAAGGAAAAACTATTTTATATCTTCCTGCTGGAAGCCTCCTCATACAGTCTCCCTTTGTGTGTGCCATGCAGGTTACTGATAGCCTGATTAGAATTTGCATGTTCAAACAATTACTATTTGACATTTTAGTTATTACAGTAATCAAAATTTTTAGGACTCTCCCTTAATATTATGAAGCCAGATTTGGTATAAGGAGGCTGATTTATAAATTACCAAAGGATCTTGTAGCATGGTCCCCAGTATGTGCCCTTAGAAAGAAGAACTATTAATTTTTATTTTGGCCCATTTAGGGGTTGATTGATTGGTTAAGTCAGAATTTAAGAGTAGAACCAATATTTTGAAGACCTCATTTTCCTTAAATATTTATATGGGTAGCTGCTTTTGTGGTAATTAGAAATAATAGATCCTTATATACCTACTGATAAATACAAAATAAAGATGAATTTTTTAAGGAGAAGTATTTGAGGTTAGCACATGTACCTCTTCCCTCATACCTTAGGGAAAAGAGAAATCCTTGCAGATGAGCTGCAGATAGGCTTCTGAGCTTAGCCACGCAGTATGCTGCTAACACTGATGCTGCACTGCACAACATTCTTTGATCACCATCTTGCAGATATACTCATACATATATGTAGTGTGTAACACTGTAGTATTGTATTACAGAAGATGCTAACTAGATTTTAAGGGAGCTGAGGGAGAATTGATGAGCCTGACTCACCATGCATCGAATTAAATATTTTATAATAGACCCACAAAATTGAAAATAGATGCCTACTATGATTCAAGTTGTCATTTTATAGCTTTTATCCCATTCTACCAAAGATGACATTTGTAGGCTCTTCCTCCTTTAGTTATCAGAAGTTTAATCTTAATGTCTTTCTTAAACTGGAACCAAATATTATTAAAGATGCAGTTTTCATGATTCTTTTAGAATGGAATATATACATAGGAAGTTTGATTCCTTGAAGTTACAGAGAAACTAGACATTTTCTTGAGAGGCAGGGTAAAGAGGTGAGAGTTCATGTCACTTAACTCCAACCATTTGGGGCAAATTTTATCTCAGGTAGTTTTATATCTTTCCTTTATTAACTGTGCTTCCTTCCTTTTCACCTTCCCAGTTTCTTCTTTATTGTTCCATGGTATTGCCATGGTGTATTCTGCCTCAGAAAAGACATATAAAGTGATGAGGAAATTTGGGGTTTGTTAAAAACATCTGGAGGGAGTAGTTAGCTAACCATTATCAAAATTATAATGCTATATTAGAGAACAAGTAGAGTAGGCAGCTTGTTAAAGATAGCACTTAGCTAAAAGAAAGCACAGTATTGGCTGTGTTTTTTAAAAATGGAAATAGATTGTCCTCTTTCGAGAAGAGATCTGCATTTATTACTACTCATTGTCTTCCTTGTTCTTGGCCAGCAGCACAGTAGCTATCTTCGGAGTAATTCCTTTTTTGCTACCTTGAGCAAAAATTATGGGTGATTCTAGGACTAAATCCATACATAATAGTTATACTCATCCTTTTCTGTTTTAACTTAGAGAAGTACAGCCTTCTTTTTTGGTACTCCTGCCTCTAAAGAAAGCTAAGATACATTAACCAGCTGGTAGTAGTGTTCCACGTAGAGAAAGTTGAAAAAAACTATGGGTATAATTATTTGTTTCTTATTACACTGGACTTTTCCCCCAGTAAGAACATCAGTTTTCTGGAAAAGATGAAGGGCAGAATTAGAGCACTCATCAGGTGCTGTTTCATGGCTCTTTTGAGTTCATTAATTTACATAAATTCTACTATTATACTTCACAGTGTGGCAAAGATTGCAATGAAAATCAGTACCGTAGTAATTATAACAGCAGTTACTGGATAAGGGTGTCAGGGAAAGATTCAGTAAGAGATATTAGACGCATGCAAAGATATATGGTAGGTGGCTTTATTCAGATTAGGGTGCAGATGGAATCACTGACTTCAGTCAGTCTGGTAGATGTGTAGATAAAGATTTGAGCAAGTGCCTTGTTTTTCCTGGGAAATATTAAAACATTTGGGAGAAACCTTTCCAGATGGTGATTAATTGCACCTCTGCCTTTTTCATAGAACAACTTTTGGATTGAGTCACCTAATATAAAAGTTTAAAATTTCCTTGGTGATTTTATTTTGGTATGTGTAAAGCTGTTCCTATTTGATTGTATTCTAATACTATGTGTCATGGAAGAGCTACTTATTAGGCAGGATCTAATTCTTTTTGGATTTGGTTCCATTTTTAATGTCAAGTTCCTTCCTCAAATCTTACTACTCTAGCACTAGAATGCCATTTATTTGTCAAGTTTAATCACATACAGACCATCTCTTGGTCACAGCTCAAAAGAATTTCATTCTTTAGGTGCTCAGTAAATCACCTTTATTTTGAGATGGAAGTCTTTCAAATTACCATAGTAACTTGACTAGCTTACCTAATTAGCTTTCTCAATGAGTATACACGTTTTTTTTGTTTTATTTTGTTTTTTTGAGACAGAGTCTCACTCACTATGTAGTTGAGCCTCACCTGGAATTCACTATATAGCTCAGGCTGGTTTTGAACTCACAGCTATCCTCCTGCCTCAGCCTTCCGCGTGCTGGGATTATAGGCATGCGCCACCACACCCCGCTATGAGTATACACATGTTAAGTTGCCATCATTTGGAGCTCATCTGAACCTCCTGTGGTATATTTAGTTTTTATATGGTTAATCATAGAGGAACATGGACATTTTAGTTTTTAGAGTACCCAGAATTTAAAAAGATTTGATTTCATTTTAAATTAGCTTCTGTATCTGATATGCATAGGATATCATGTTTATGATTCTAGCTACTTTCCCCCACCTCATATTTTTCATTGTTATTTAAATTTTGTATGCTTTCCAGTAGCGTGCAATTGACAAGTACTATGAATGGAAAAAAGTTAATAATTTTAACTATTTTTGCTATAATTTTGTAGGATAAATGACTGTAAGTGACTATAAAAAAAGTCTATAAACCAGAGAGCATTTAGGAAATTTTATATTTTATAGATGGTCATTAGGGTGATCTTCAGGATATGATACATTGTTTACACAGATTTTGTTCTCCCTATATGAAGTTTTTACTTCTTTTCCTATAGCTCAGCACTTTTGATCTTTATACTACTTTATGGGATTATTTTAAATTTGCTTGATTTCTGCTTTTCAGAGAATTATAATCATGACAGTTATACTTCTGGTACCATAAATGCTGGAATTCATGAGAAAATTATCAAACAGTTGCCCAAATATTATTTCCCATTAAATTGAATAGCTACCACTATAACGTGAAGAATATTGATGTCTCAATTGAAGGCCATTAGTGTTTTTATGAACTAAGTTCATAGCATTGTAATTTAAGGGCAAAGAGAAGCATTCTTATTTGCCTTACATGACCATTAATTTTTATTTTGCAGAAGAGAACTGATTTTGTTAACTATTTTGTGTACTGACAATGTCATATTCTGGGGAAAAACTGGAATTGTTCATTTTGTTTGTTTCTTTTTTGGGAAATCCTCGTAGTAAATATCAGAGCTGCTTGCTACCATAAGCTATTGATTGTCAATGAGAATTATTTTTAGCCAATTTTTTTTTAATCCCAGGTTGGAATTGCCTTTCTTCTTTTCTAGGTTATGTCCCCTTAATAATATTCATGATACCAGGATATGAGTGCAAAAAAGCAAATATAGAGATATTCTAAAATCATGCATATATGGATTTAAAATCTCTGCAGTTATTTAAAATATCTATAGCTGTGTTATTAGCATGGGTTTTCAGAAGACTGCTAGATTTAAGAATAAGGAGAAAGATTTGAGGATGAGGAGAAGAAAATGGCTCTTACTGGCATTAGTAATTTCACTTGTGGTTAATGATTTTAAAATGTTTATTTTTTTAAGCTGCAGACTTCGTACCTGTAGCATAGAAACATTGCATTTCCTATACATTCCTCATTATTTCTTTCCCAGAAAGTTACTGTGAGAGTGTATGAAACCAAATTAAATATATCCATATTTGATTTATCCTAATTTTTAAGAGTAAATATTTGAGTTCCAGTTTTTGTGTATTTAGTGTTCATTGCCATTCATGTTCATCAAGTAGCAGAAAGAAACTGGAGATTAACCCTGTTTCCCTTTTCACACTGGGTACAGTGGGTGGCATTAGTATGCACTAGCTGCAGAGTTACTGCACCTTATGGAACTAAGTAGGGTTTATTTATTATAATAACAAGTTAAGATGCACTTCTGTGTATTTCTTGGCAGAGTGTAAAGCCACATCTTTTCCAGCAGGATTTACTCTTTTTAGAAAAATCTTAAATGATTTAACATTCCTTAATATCCTCTTAACAGTGTCAAATTTGGGGTAGAAGGGATTTTTTCCCTGCAAAAGGGCTTTATTTTTGCTATATTTTGATCACTTTTAGAAATCCGAGTATCATCAATAAATTCTAAGTTTATGGCCTCCTGTGTCAGCACTGAAGTGGTGGGTTAAATATTAAAACCTGCTATTCTTTTCCCTTATTAACATGTAATTGCTATGCTTTTGATAAGAGGATTTGGTTAGAAAAATGTGAAAGATCACTTAAACCAAAGCCAGTTATAAGGAGTATTTTCTCCTGTTGGTTTACCTTCACCTCAGAATTATAAGAACATCACAGTACACAGTGAATAGTTGTCTATAACATTTCTAACCGTTGTTTCAATTGGTCTTGGCATTTCTTGACACTATGATTCTATGTTCTTTGTGATGTCTTACTGTTTGTGAGGATTTTTTTAAATAACTAAGTGGGGCTGTAAATGTAGATTTGCGTCAGTGTCAAGAAACTGTTTTCAGATCTCTAAATGGATTTTCATTTAAGTGTTTTAAAATTGTTTTTTCTTGCTGAGTAGCATTGTCCACTTTCCTGTATACCTAAAAGTATGAACACTGCATTTCAATGGACTGTATTGTGTACTTTTTGCTGAGAACTTTTTTCTGTAAACACAATTGCCTTGTTCAGTTTTGTTGTAAACTGACTTACCATAAGATGCACTGTTGATATGCTTTCTGATGTGTTTGATAAGAGTGATAAAATAAAACTTAAAAATAAAAGAATTGCATTTATGTATTTCTATATTTAGTGTAAGTATTCAAATTCAGATAACAAATAGATGCATTTATGCTTTAAGTTTTACCAAAATCATCTGTTCAAAAAATTTTTGTAGTTTCAACTATTTCTTTTGTTTTGTTTTGTTTTTTGTTACTGGGGATTGAATTCAGGACCTTGCACTCGTGAGGCAGGCGGTGGCACCACTGAGCTAAATCCCTGGCTAGCAACTATTTCTACACTTGATCTTAGCCAAAAGGCCGAGAAGCGATGGCAACTATTTCTAAAGAACCCGAGTTTTCACTTTTGGAAAGGTGGATCAAATTGACAGTAGTGAAATGTAATTTTTCACATTGGATAAATGTCCCTGATGTTGTAGAAATAGTCTGGATTAGTGAAATTCACAGTCGGGACCTGTGATCTAATCTTAGCTTTTTTTTAAAAAATCAAAATCTTGGCTTTAATCAAATTATTTAATTTTGGCAATAGTTGTATTTTTGTGTTGTGAAGACCAAATGAAATGGTATGATAGTAATAATGTTCAGTAGTGATAAACAGCTATCAGATGTGGAGTATCAGGTGATGGATAGTATTTTCCATAATTTATAGCTTGTTTAATGTTGTCTTTAGGGAAAATGAGGCTCAACATTTCATAACACTTAAGGTACATTGTTATCTGGATGATTAATTCCAGAGAAAGACACTGTTAGGAGGGATATGCTAAGAGACCACTTTCAGAGCTCGGCCTAGAGACTAGGAGTGTTTAGTAATTTTTATACTATAGCATATAACAATCAGCTGGTTGGTAGAATACAGAGTGCTTGTGCACCACCTC